TACTAGGGGCTCCTGGCCTTACTACTAGGAGCAAGGACGCTACTAGGAACATCTCTCTCTATTTTTCAGAAGTCTTTCCCGACATCAGCCGACCGACTCGCCGCTCCCCCAAGTCAAAGCGCGGTGATGACGCGCGCGACGAGACGTCACGCGCGTGACATCTTGCCCAAGGCGCCATCATCCGGAGGACCTCCCGAATGAGGTTCACCATGAACTCCTGCTCGGTCGGCTCCAAGGAGTGCAGCGGCTCGTAGAAGTATCGCAGGTCTGCCAGGCCCTCCAAAGGGTCCTCGCGGGCAAGGGTCTCCCAGGTTTCGCAGGTTGGAGGCCCTTTGTTGACCCAAACCACGAGGTTGTAAAATCAAAGACGTAAATATGTTCAGTTCAGTTCAGTTCTATTTCAATTTGGGAATCTGCATTCAACTACCTGGGGGGCCTTCCAGATGTTAAAAAATAACATCTCAACCACGGAGGTCTTGACTGCAACACAGAGGTCTTGGACTGAAATGTATACAAGGCCGGACTCACTACACCAAAAAAATCGACAGCGAGACTGACCACATCTGGCAGCTTCGCTTTGGTCAATGCCAAGGAATGGTGTTTCTCAAAGCGCAAGTCCAATAAATGATCAGAGATGCAAAGATGCGATCGAAGAGTCAAATGCCATGCTTGGAATGCTAAAAGCTTAAGGTTGCCAAACCAGTATATATGCAGCGGCCCCACTTGCACATCTATGTGGGCGTGGCGGCCCAAGTCCTGCCGATGACGCTGGCTGTCCCGCAGGGTGCTGATCTCCTGAAGAGGCTCCGCGAGAATGCTGCTTGTTGGGCCTTCTGTGCCACCTCCCACAAAAGGTAGAAGCTGGATGGTCAATAGATGTTACAAAGGCCTATAAAACTTGCTTTCCTCCAAACCACTGGGAGGTGGCTGGCAGTGCAAAAAAACATGCTTAAAATATCACACACCTTTCAGCCTGAAAGCAACATCGAGTGGCTGTCCCTTATTTTTTCATCCGAACGCTTCGCTCGCGCTCGCGAAAGGCGGCAGTGCTGGGTCAGCGTTTCCTTCAAATATTCTGAGCGTAGTTGCCGCAGCTGGGTCTTCAAGGACTCCACTCCTAACGAGGCGGAGCGAGGGTGGGTGGATATGAGGCAAGGGCGGGCGGCGGATAGGAGGAGCATCCAACAGGTCAGCTGCATGGAACGGCATGGAGCAGGATATTCTGGGAGAAGGTTAAAGAAAGTTGCTGAAAGGCAGCTCAAGCCATGCCAGGAATTGCCAAACACCACCAGCAGAGGCTTTCTGTTTCACCACTTCTTAGTCAAAACGAAAACACCAAAATCGGCCGGTCATGGGTCCGTCCTGCTTCCAGGTTCACTCGATGCACTCGCAAAGGCTTCACGAACTCGTGCCAGCCTTGAACAAGCATACTTTGTCCATGCTTGTGCTTACTGGTCTGAGCAGCACATCAGCACATCTCGAGAGGCTTCAACCCCCGAAACCATGATATATGTATCAGCAAAACCAACGGGGGGCCTTGAGTTGTGGACTCCTTCCCATGTTTCGCCAGGGGCACCCACAAGTTCAGTTGGACAGTTCTCCACATACAAATTACAGGATCCTTTTATCTAGTGAAGGTTGACCTGTCCACACAACATTCATGCCACAAAAAATCCCTTTTTGCAGATCCTCCCCAGCAAGGTTTTCTTGCCCACATGGGTTTCTTCCTTCCAAAGAATCAAATATGTCAAATATGTCACTGCTGTGCACCCTCTTTGTTGCTTCACATGCTTCTTTGGGCTCCAATCCCTCTGCTGCTGCTTCGCACTGCTTCGCACCGCTTCGCACTGTTTCGCATCCTCTATGATCCGCCAAGCAACAAAGATGCGCAGTGCTCACCTTCGCTTCGTGGAGCTTTATGGCAATCATCTTCAGAAACTCCTACAAGCCGGTGGAGGTCAGTTGGTTCGAAACCCGGGTTGCCGAGAGCCACAATTGCAGGGAGGGTTTGTTTGGCCACGAATCACTGAAATTGTAAAACGACCACTGAAGCTGGGAAAATCTACTCACTGCGCAGCTTTTGTGGATTCCCCTACAAGCGCAGCGTCTTCGGCAAGTGCGCTGCGTCTTGCGCGCTGCGTCTTGCGTGTGCGTCGCGACGCACCAAAGCCGAGCCCATGCCGTGCCTCGCTATCGATGGGCCTTCCCGTTGCAAAGAACTCCTGAGTGGTGAATCAACGGTCACAGCGGGCTGGATCTCAGGGATGCTCGTTGAAGATGACTCTAGGACCGCAGGCCCATGGCCCTGACAAGAACCGGATTCTGGAAGCTTACCAGTAGCTGTTTCCTTAATTCCACCAATTTAACCAGTTTGACGATAATAGATGTTTCCCTCGTCCACGACGGGCGCGTTTTCGACGTCCTCCTCGGCCTTGAAAGCGTGGTCGTGGGCCTGTCGTTTTCGCCCCCCACGCGGGGGCCTCGTCGTCGTGTCCGGCATTTGGGGCGCAACTCATTTGAAGCCACGTGAAAAGAATGCAAAAGGGGCAAAAAACACAAGCACTGTGTTTGAAGGTGCCTTGAGGTGCAGATTTCGTGGCTGGTGCAGTAGTTTGTGCACCTTGAAGTGCATATGTCGTGGCAGGTGCAGTACTTTGTGGACCTTGAGGTGCAGGCTTCGTGCTACTTGGCTGACCTTGATGTGCAGGTTTCGTTTCAGGCGCACTACTCGGTGGACCTTGAAATGCAGATTTCGTACATCACCCGCTGCACTTGCCACGAAATCAGAGCACGCCGAAGACCACCACCATGTCCAAAGTACTGCGCCTGAAAGGAAATCTGTACATCGACATAAACACCCTCAGATCTCCTGCACCTGTCACGAAAAGTCGACTTTGGACCACCAGAACACGAGGTGTCCCTTGCGCCTGCCACCAAAAGCGATCACCTTGCGCCTGAAAATGTTCACGTCACCACACCGAGAGCGCAGTCTCGAAGAGCACCCGCTCAGCAGCGAATTAGCCGGACCCGGCCGCGAGCACCTCGATCAGACATAACACTAGTGTTACCACAGACAAATCCACGGCTCCGAAAAGGATCCACCCGTGTTCGTGTCCAGTCCATGGTCGCTCCGGTCAAAGGGATTGCCCCGCATTCCGGCGGAACGAATTGGTGAAGTTGGGGGTCGCACCTGTCGTAGGAAGCGGGAGAATCGCGCCATGAGCTGAAAATTGTTCAGGACATTGGCCATAAAGACCTTATGGTCTTCCTCGCTGGCTGGCCTCACAATCAACGATGACTTTGGGGCGATCTAAGAGGGTGCTTTTCAGACCTGATGAAGCTTTACTTACAAGGGAACTTACAATAAGCGGGATGCCCATGAGGTTGAGGACTGTCAGAAGTCAACCGTGAAGCACCAAAAGAGTCTTTCCATATACATCTTTGTGAAGTCTGGTGCGCGTTTCCGCAAATTTCTATCAGGAGAATAAATCAGAATGAACAATAAAAAGGAACGGAGGCAATAAGTACTAAGTGACTCCCGACCTACTCATCACCCCGCCTGAATTTGCTCAGCTCGTGCCATTCTTTCAAGTTGCTCCGCTGGATTCCAAGCTTCAGAGACCTGGCGCGCTTCTTTCCGCCCCTTCAAAGAGTGGTCCGCTTGGAGTGCTGGGAGTGCTGGGTTTGTATCTGTTTCTGAAAATCTTCTTACTAGTAGCGTCCGATCGCTCCGTTCGAGTCGCGTCCCGTCCGACGGTCCACGTCCTCCCCCTATCGGTGGTCGTGGTCTGTTGTCTTGTTACGTTCTTAGCGTCCTCTTGTTACTAGTAATGCCCTTGTTGCTAGCATTCTTGCTACTAGTATTGCCAGGAGCTACGTTCGTAGCGTCCTTGTTCCTAGTTTCAATCTGTTTGCCCCACGGCCAATGGACGTGGGCCCCAGGGCCCCGCCTGTTCACCGTCAGGATCCGCAAGACCAAATCTCTGAAGCGGTGCTTCTTCGGCAGCTCCACATCGTCCAACAGGCTCAGCTCTTGCGTGGGCACCTTCGATCGAACCAACAATGGCCGCATGCACCTCTCCACCCGCGGGCGTCGGTGTTCAGAGGATCGAAGTGAGAGTCCGAATGATTGCATCGAAGAAGAAATCTCGCAGTTCTTGTAACGGCCAAGGAATTGACCTCGTGTGGAAGAGTTGTATTTTCCTAGATGTCGAAAATGAGAATTGAATGGCTTGCTGGGAAGTGGAAATCCCACCCCTCCTGTTCCAACTCAATACCTTTCGCATCCTATCTCCATCTCCTGTCCCCCGCCCACCGCGGGCCCACCGGGTTCGGACCTTCCCACCGCGCTGTCTCTGCTGGTGTCTCTGCTGATCTGCTTTCAGCGCGCTCTGGACGCGTTCCAAGGCTTTCGACATCCGGGACCACGGCACCACGGCGCCGACCGATCGACGTGCGAATGCGGGCGGGTTTTGAACGTCCTGGGCGAGGCTTGGGAGCGAAGGAACTCGACTTGTCCGTTTTGGTGAGCGGTGTCAGCTTTTTCGTAGTGCAATGCCGCGATTTCGCCGATGTAAATATGCCAAGACTAGACTCGCAATACGGGTGACCTACCAGAAGAATCTGGGTTACATGTTGTGACCTTGTCAACAACCTTCTCTGTCACTGCCAATGAATGTGGCATGCATGCCCAGATCCTAGTTCCAAATATGCTCACATGCTCCTTCTGTTTAGAAAGTTGTAGTCGCCCTTGCTCTCGGGGTCCACTTCATGTCAAAGTCTCTTGAACAAGTTGACTGAAAATAAGCTGCGGAGCAGGCAAAGCCATGTGACCATCTCGTGGGGCCTACAAAAACGTGCAGTTTATGCTATTCTTCGCGTGGTGGCAAGGAAGAGATCCAATGAATCTCTTCAGTAGGTGAGGAAAGGTGAAATCTGCACATCAAGGTGGATGAGAGCGCTAGCTCGTTCATTTCTTGTTGCTTCTTCTCTTCGTGCACCGCTAGGCCATAACAAGGAACACCACATCCCTTTTGCGAAAGTATGTAGCCGTAGCCTTCAGTCAGAGCCAAAACACAAGCCAAGCTAAACAACGCAACTACCCGAGCTCTGCGAGCCAGGAAAGCACCTTCAAGGGGAACAATTCTTTCTCTGACAACTCCAAACATCAAAAGGTACCTCTGAATGGGTTCTGCTCCATTGCACATCACGGATGCTCCACTGACTTGAAAAAAGAGGCTTCCCAGGTCGATGAAATCTTTTCTTTACTTTTTCCGACCCCAAAACTTCCCGTCTCGCTGCACGATGTGCCAACCACCACCGAACCCACCCCCGCTCGCTCTCCACCGCCATGGCACACCGCTTCCACGATGGGCGCTGAAGCACCACCGTCGTCCAGGTTGGTACCTTGCGCCAGTGGAGTGGAACCGTGAGGACGCAGTGCCCCCGGTGAGAGAAGGCGGAGGAAGGTGCCCTTCTTATCGTTCTTCAGGAGAGAAACCCTCGTGGAAAGGAGAGGCTTTAGGCAGGAACGGGGGCAGCGCCCCTGGCATCACATAGGAAGTTTGGTGGGAGAAACTGCTGTTGGAGAAACTGCTGTTCGATCAGGTTCAATCATTTTCAGTAGGGATTTCTAGTCTAAAGGATCAATGTATGTCGGCAAATCGACTATCACTTCGGCAAAAGCACATCCCAGTTTCATACTTTGAGTTTGACAAACCACCGACACGACTACCATGAACAAGACCAGTTAGTGGATTTGCTCCGCCTTCGTCGCACGCAGGCTCAGTCCCACACGCGCTCGCGCCAACAGCTGGACCGTCTTCACCGTGAGGTTCTGGAGTAAAACCGTCGCGTGGGTGAGGTGAAAACCGTGGGTTTTGCGGGGAAAGGGGAGACCAACACAGACCACAACCCTGCACCAATATCTGGACTAGCTGACTACTAGTAGCTAAAGCCCACCAATCCAGAAGAAAATGAACATGATCAACTCATCTTGAGCATTCTTGAGCCATGTACTTCCAACCTTCCTGACAAGAGCGGAGCCAAAGTACTGAATCACTCCAAAAGACCCTGGAACACCACCACCACTTGCCCCAATGTGTCTGATATGTCTCCATAGCATCCTGCACATGAGCTTTGCAAGGTGACATCCGAGACATCAGAATCAACAGAGTTTCACACCTCAAGACCCACATAGGGCCTGTAGCTTCCCCTCGACCGCGTGGTGACCTCTCCTCCTCGGTGTTGTCCACCAGAGTAGGATCCCAAGGAGGCAAAATCGCATAGAGCGGAGCCTTGCGTAGGCCGAGCGCGGGAAGTGGCTCCAGCATCTGTGTGGAGCATCTGCTCCATCGATGCCCAAAACTCAAAAAGCACCAGAACCATCCAGAATCCCCGGCCAGTGCTAACACTCCCAGTGCCCTACCTGGTTCCTTCTTCACTTTTCTGAGTTACATGGGACATGCGGTTGGCGCCCCAAAATGGATGTCGCATAGTTCTTTTAAACGTATCTAGGTCATTGCTTCACTCCTTTCACATAGATGATCTGTCAATCCTCATAAATGTCTGTGCAAAGTTGAGAAACATTGTTTTCTGGGACCTAGATACGTATATACCATGGTAAAGCACCTACCCCAACTTATGACTGATCATATTATACCATGGTTTTCTGGGACTCACGAATCAAGCACCTAACAAAAACAGCCGAACTCAAGCCATGCTCAGTTCACATACAAAAAGGGCTTTCGACAGAGTTCGAACCGCCCAATTCTGCCCAAATCAAAACATACATACATCTTGAAGAACACTTAAACCATTTGAGGAATATGAAGCTGGTGAATCTTATGAAGTATAATTCACATGAAACTTCAAGGAATCATCTGAATGAAACTGATTTCAGCGCCACGTCGCACCACCTCACCCGGCCTTGCGCCCAAAGTCGTCGACCGGGTCCGCGCTGGCCTTCGCTCGTAGCAACACCTCGCTCGGCACGACCGCTGTCCGACCGGCCGACCGATGGAACCGGGTCCGGTGTCGCACCGACCGTGTCCGACTGAGTCGGTGTCGCACCGGTGTCGAAGGTTTGGTGGATGATCGCCCATGAGAGCGGTGCGTGGGGGGCGTTTGGTGATAGACATGTTTCGTCCCGCATGGAGTCAGCCTGGCAGAAGATTTGGAGATGTTAATAGGCTCAAATGTTCCTGTGAGATCTATGAGTGCATAAACAAACACCCTTCTAAAGAGCTAGGCTTCCAAAAACGACCAGCTCTTGCGACGCCGACCCGCATGTAACACGAATTCAAGGGCTCAACCATCCCTCCATTCCTTTGCAGGGTCTTAGCATGTATTAGCATATAGATCATATAGCCCCACCCGGACCCCCGGAAAAAAGAAAGAACACTAGACCCAAACAAAATGCGGGTGAGTCTTCCATGACTGTAGAATAGGGTTTCACCGCGTTTCACCTCCCAGGTTCGACCCCGAAGGCGAAGGGATGCTCAGAGCCAGTCCGGCATCCCGCGACCCGGCGACCCGCTTCGCCTCCACCGCTTCGGTGTGCTTCGCATGACACGCCAGGCTCAAGGGCGTCGTGCCGAAGGAGCTCCTGGGAAGAACGACCAGGGCGACCAGGGCCGTTTCGGGGGCCGTTTCGGGGGGAAGAAGTTGGGGACCCCCAACAACAGCCGCGACCAATTTGGTCCTTCCAAGTGTTGTAGAGCTGTCAAGCTCAGCACTTTTCCGCAAAATGATCAAGCACCCTGCTTTGCTGTGGAGGACAAGCGTTCTCTTCCGCGGCAAAGCAACATCTTCCGTTTTCCAAGCATCCCCAGATCTGCCCAAAGTCCTGACGTTGAGATTTGCTTTGTTTCTCACCATCTCAGCGATGATGCTGCTGCAGTTTTGCCTGTCAGCGATGCCCACCAGCATTTCGGTCATTTTAAGTGCCTGGTTTCCTGCTATACGCATGACTATTCATGAAGGAGCCATCAGAAAGTGTCCAAGCTTTTGTTCAACCACACTTGCCTCTGTCCTTCGTATATCTGCATCTCTCTGCAGCATATCACGTTGGACACACGTGCCAACCCTTGTTCATCTCGGTTAATCCCAAGTCTCATCAAGATCCCAAGTCTCATCAAAATGAGACAGAAGGTCGTCACTGGTGGCATTGGCATCATGTGTCTGGAAAAGCAATAGATCAAAAGCTTGCTGAGTGCCAGAATCATCACCATGCTTCTGGAAAAGAAAAGGAAAACAAACGCATTCCATCAGGTCTCACATCGAACTTATCTTTTCCCTGCCGTGGGACCGCGAGGGACCGCAGACGTCTCAATCCGAGCTCCCAACATATGCGGCTTCCTCGCTAGGACATGTAACCTGAAACCACCCAACAGAGCGGCCACGTTGGGAGGTTTCCCGCGCCACAGAAAGCAAAGAGAAAGACATTCTAAGAGGTTTCCTGTTTCTTCCAGCCCTCACGAGGTGAAGATGTATGTCAATGTGGTGAAACTAGTCATGTTTTAATTGACGATCATTTGCCTCTCATTCTTGAAGAATGTTCAAAATGACAAACCGTCTGTGTGGTCTTATTCATCCCTCTCTTCGCTCTTCAGCTCCCCTTTCATCTTCCAACCCTCCCCCTTCTTGATGCTGAAGGCACAGCGTCATGAACTCGGGAGCATCTTGAGGACGCATCGGTGCATTGACCTGGCGAGGCCGTAGGGCCGGGGCTGGGGCGAAGCGGCCGGGGCTGGGGCGAGGCGTCGACGGTTGAAATCGAAACGACACCCTTTTGTTGGGAGGAGCCAATAGGAGCAGGTTGAGATGCTGCCTCCTGAAGGGGGTTCAAGGAACATGACAAATGCTCAGCAAACAGCTGCGATTTTTCACGGTGTAGTGGCCCAGTGAACAACGGGCTTGCGTGGACGGCGTCCAGGTGTCTGCACATCAGTTGGCTCGGAGTCTTCGTCTCCAGTGTCAAAGGATCCCGTTGGTTCGGACATTGCGTTCAGACCCGAAAGGCAGGACCCCAGCTCTTAGGCCCCCGAGCCGATGCGCGCGCGGAGATGAGACGCTTCACGAGGCCCAAGTCCCCGCGGAGACAGGCTTCCTGAGCGCGCGGGTCATGGAGCTGAGGAAGGCGGAGGGCAAGTGCCTGAAGATGATATCAAAGAATCTTGGACGATGAGTAGGAATGGGACCCGAGGTCATGTAAAGACCCGGCCAACACGCAAAGACGTGAACAAGGCCGGCACAACAAGAGCCTCGCAGATCTCACCAAATCACGAGCAGTGGTGTCGTGAGGTGGTCACGGTCGCCAGTTCTCTCCCGTCTACCACCAGAAGATCAAAGTCACTGCTGAGGGAAGACTGTCTTTCATCAGCTCCCTTCCTACCCACGCGTCCCGTCTACCACGCGGAACGCCCGGTCGACTGCCCGGTCGACTGAAAGACAAACGCCCCGGAGGTCGACTCCTGCA